ACGCCATGTGGTCTCCTCCAGGGCAGGCGGGAATCGAGCAGTGGCTTTAGCTTCTCAGTGCTGTGCTTTAACCCGCTGCGCCACCAGGGAGGGCCGACTGTCTGTTTTTTGTAATGTCCTGATCTGAATTTTTTAAACGTTCCAGTCTGAATCCTGCTTTTTTCCTCCACAAGCTTCTTTCTCCCTAGTATTCTGAAATTTTGTAGTGATAGGGCTTGGTATGGGTCTCTTTCCATTTAGTAGTGAACCTTTTCAACCTTGCAACTTATTTTGTTTGGTTCTTAGAAATTTGTTGGTTTGGGCCTCCCTGGTGGCGCAGGGGTTAAAGTCTCAGTTCTATCAAGCTCGAGCTTACCCATATGGTGCAGCAGACCTCTCCTGTCTTGCTCGCTGCTCCCCTCAGCAGTGTATTTCAGTAGATTGGCCTGTTCTGCTCCCCACTCTGTCTCTGGTGAATCCTTTCATCCCCCACACCTCTGGCCTACACACCAATTCTTGTATGCATAAATAAATAAAATCTTAAAAAAAAAAAAAAGAAATTGGATAGTCTTCTGTCTTCTGATTTTCTTGCCAGTTTTTCCTTTTTCTTCTCTCTCCCTCCATCCCTTTCTCGATCTCCTGCCTCTTTCCCACGAGTATATTTTGAAAGCTTTGTTGTAGGCTCTGAAAATCTCTTACATTTCCTGGTTTCCTTTTATGGATAGAGTATTATTGGCTTTCCAAGTATATTTAACAGTAGCTTTCCCTTCCCTTTGTCCTACTTTTCCTTCCTTAGATATTTAGTAATTCTTGGCTGTCTTCTAATGTTTAAATGTAGGGTACTGATTATTGATTGAAAGCTCTGAGCATGTGGGTTGGAGTTAGCTTTTTTTTTTTTTTAAATGGTGGTATAGTTTATAGTATAATAATAGTAAAATGAAGAGTCATGGTATGGTTCGACACGTTTTGACAGATGTATATTTGGAGATATAGTACGTTAATCAAGATAAAAACTATTTCCATCAAGCCAGAAATTCTCATATGTCCTTTTCCAGCCATTTCCTGCCGCATACTACCTGAATTTCACAGAGGCAACTGCTTTCTAGCAACTTAGAATGGTTTCATCTGTTCTGGAACTTTGTATCAATAGAATCTGCCCTTTGTGCCTGACTACCTTTGCCCACAAAAATATTTGCCATCCATCCACATGGTGCATCGGTCAGCCATTTATTTGTTTCATTGTATGACTGTCTCATAGTCTGCGTACCATTTTCTGTGGATTAACTTTGGGATTTTCCGATTTTTATTTAGTATAGTAAAACTACTATAAGTAGTCTAACACAAGTCTTCTGTGGACATTTACTTTCATTTCTTTCAGTGGCTAAATGCTAGGTCTATTTCTAAGTCAAAGGATAGGCAGATGTTTAACTAGTGATAAAAATTTTACAAAATTGTATTACTTTTTACTCCCAAAGGCAAAGTGTGGTGAGTTCCTTCCTAGGTCTTCTGCATTTTAGCTAACATTTGGTATAGTCATCTTTTTATCTTTAGCCTTCTTGGTGAGAGTGTGGTGTTATACATTGTTGTTTTATTATCAGCGTTATTTTAATTGTGGTAGCATTGGGAGTCTCTCCATCAGGTGGTCGTATTCACCTTTTCCAGGAGACTGGTGATGAGTTCCTTTTCTGGTGCTTAACTTGGAGGTGTCTGTTCAAAACTTTCACCCAGTTTCTATGTTTTAAATTGTTGATCTTTAAAGCTTTGTCTGGATTTGCATCCCTTTTCAGAGTTGTGTACGGCAAATACTTTCTCCCAGTTTTGTGGCTGGCCTATCTATCTGCTTAATGGTGTTTTTTGATGACTAGAAGTTTTAAATTGTGGTTAGTACTGGCTTATCATTTATTTTATTTTACTCTTAGTCTTTATTTGGTGAACTGTCTAAGAAATTAATGCTAATGCTAAGATCCTAAAGATATTTTCTCACATTCTTATTTAAATACTTACAGGCTTACCTTTTATTTTCAAGTTTGCAATTCATTTTGAATTAATTTTTGTATATGAGGTGAGCTGCTAGTGAAGCTCATTGTTTTCCTTATGGCTGTCTGTCTAGTCCAGCACATCTGATGAAAGGGTTATTGAACTTGAGCCACTTAATCTACAGTCATCTGGGTGGACTGTACTATGGACCTTGTATTGGTCTTTTGACCTTTCCTTTGGAGTGAATCAGGCTTCCCAGAGAAGTTTTCTGATCTTTTGCTCAGGGGGACAGGATCTGGATGCTAATGTCTTAGTGACAGAGTTGGGAAGAAGGCTGTGAGTAGGCCACTCAGCATTCAGATGCACACATGACTGCCGTTGTCAGTTGGGCTTCTCCAGCCTCGTCTGTGCTGGACATCCTGTAGTCAAGAAACCACTCCAGAGAAACAACCAACTGACGTCTCTGAGTTGTCCAATTGGGTGACGGGGAGGGAGAGGGAACCCAAGGACCTAGAGCTTCCCAAAAATCAGTTGATTCTTCCATTTTGAGCCACCCCATCGCAGCTTACCTCTAGATTGGAAGTACCAGCTCTTCCCAGCCCTGTGCCCACTCAGGTCAGAGTTAAATTGGGTTAAATTGTGTGGGTTCGGTTATCCCCTTACTGGCCTAGAATCCAGCTTGTCAGGTCAACTAACCTTGCTAGCATTTTTGTCCTTATCTTCCAGCACCATTTTTTTCTTGTCCTTGAAGGTTTATGCCTAACTCTATTTAGTAGAATTTAGGGAAGAACAGTTTGAGTTTGAGTTGTTCAGTCTTCTCTTTGGTTGTTTAAAAGCAGCCATTATTCATGCATCTTCAGATGCTCTGTAAACGCTCGCACTCAGAGTGGGGTCAGGGCCACAGTGTTGCGTCATCCGGGCACTTGCTGGGCATGCAGAAACTCATGCTTTGCTCAGACCAACCAAGTCAGGATCTGCATTTTTACAAGAGCCCCCAGGGAGTTTGTATGGCTATTAGAATTATAAAAGCATCATGGTTTTATAGTCATTTGATTTCCCTTCCCCTGCAGGCGAGAGGAAGTATGCAAAAGAGGTTATTTTCTTGCTTTTGATTATAATTTTCAGTTTTGTTTTTTTTTTTGCAGTGTTTCTGCCACCCAGTTAGCAGACAAGGTAGAGAAGGCAGTTCTGGAGCGTTTGAAGCCTCTCCTGGTCAAAGCCCAGGTAATGTAGTTCATTTCATTTGCTTGCCATTGGGACAGTCTGTAGTCCAGTCACTACAGAGGTCACACTAAGTGTCCCTAAGTGTCACACTAAGTGGGTCTGGAGGCCTCTTCCAGGGCCTGCCAGCCTGCGTGCTGGTGATGTGTCTTGCCTTTTGATGAGCAGTGAAGTGAAGGGGAGTGAAAGTAATTCTTTTGTGAAAAGTGGTATTTTAGTTGGGGGAATGAACTTAGATTGTTAAACTCACTGTTAATTAAATAGAGGCAATGGTGAATTTGGATTTAGATTCACTTCTTCGACACTAATGCTGTGATCTTTCACCTCAGTGGTTTGGAATGATTGGTTATTATTCCAAAGAGTGAGATATTAGAACAGCCCTATGCACAAACCAGTGCTTTCTTCAAGATGAAATAATGTGCAGCATTGCCAGCAGGTTGAGCCACCCTCCTAAAAGCAGTCAGCTGAGTGCTGTGGCCAGCCCTAGAGACCCCAGCTGATAAACAGGAGCAGTCTGGGGGAGTAGACGGGGCCACCAAAGAAGGCTGTACTGTCAAATGAAATGAATGACTTTCTGAGTCCTTGAGAGGCCACTAAACTTCTATATCTCTAGTTTATGAGTGTTCAGTGATGATAAGTGTTCATAGATATCTCAAGAAGTGGGAGAGATCAAATAGTTTAACCTCCTTGTTTTATCAATGAGGAGGCTGTGGAACAGAGAAGTTGAGTAATTTCATAAAAACACACAGTGGATTTGACAGTGTTTATAAAGTTGAGGGAAGAACAGGGCAGAAATCCAAGTTCAACACATGGTGTTTATTTTTATGAAGGCAAAGTGCTTAGAATTTTAGCAAACTGCCTAATGTAGCTAAAGCTGAGGAACAGTTTCACACAAAGTTATCCTGGTAACAGAACTCAATTGTACTAATATGGGTTATAAATTCTTATGACTCATGAATTTGCTTGTCTGTTTTAATAGAGAGTCAATTCTTCTGTACAAGCAGATACTCACTTGAAGGATCTGCCGTCAGGAGATGCATCAACAAGCCAGCCTGCAGAGAAGGTGTGTGCAGGGTGCTGTTGGGTGTTCTGGAATGACACTGGTATTATTACATGAGAATGTATCTCATTGTAAGGAAAGTGAAATACAAATACTTAACAACTACTAGATTATCCTACTCAAGAAGGGTGTAAATTATTTTTCATATTTGGCATGTAAACTCGCACAGTGTATAAATTAGCATCATGACTTAGGTCAGCCATGCAAACAGCGCGCTGGAACCT